GCCAAGTTTGCCAAGTATATCAGTATACGATAGCGCAAACTTTTGTAAATAATTTTCACTTCTAGTTAATAGTTTAATAAGATTTCAACGATTTGGTTTTGTTAAGCTCCAGCTGTTTGTAATAAGATTTCAACGATTTGGTTTTGTTAAGCTCCAGCTGTTTTCTTCCTTTTTCTCTTACGTAAAACAAATGTTTTAAGTAAAAGTAAATATTACATAAAGGTCTTTTTACAAAAATAAATCAACTCTTGGTCTCATTTAAGCGTGTGTAATTGTAAATGGGCAAGTGGGGGACGGGGGGTGATCTTTGGAGATATATAAGTGTGCGTGTGCAATTTTCTCTTCTCAGTCGATTCATCTTGGTGGAGTACTCGAGGATTTTAATAAATCCATACATAAAATACATAACTTGTCTTGTATCACTCTTTGGTTAGTTTTACTTGTTTGTTGGTTGGGTGTTTATTTATTTTTTTTTTTTTGGCCTAAAGTTACTAGAGATTGTGATAGTTTCCAATATTGCCAGAAGGGGGAGAGCTTTCATTAAGTACAAATAGATCATTATAATTGGATCTTTGTTAACATTATTTGAATTTCGAATAATTATTTATTTCAATGAAATTGACAAGCTGTTAATCGGAAAACCAGCGCTTGCGTTCTTTTAGTAATAAATATGGGACAGAGGTGGAAATACAAATTTTCTTATATCAGGCATGAAAACGTTTGACCAATATTAACTCTTTGCATGACTCATAGTGCTGATAACCGATTGAGACTTTATAGTTAATTCATTTAATTTTGACAAGTGTAAAATCTAGGCGCTGAAACAAGATCCGGGGAATTTGACCCCCTGGACGTGAAAAAGGTGTCAGAAAGTCAAAAATGTGCTCAAAGTGTTTTGAGCAGTGATGAACGCCATAGTAATGAACGCCATAAATTTATGGACACATAACCTAAATAAAATATTGTTTTATTGAGTGGAATAACATGATATGAGTATACACTGTAAAATTTGACTAGTTAAAATAACCAATGAAAATTGTTGCAAAATGCATCTGAGAGAATCCTTTTGTTTTAGTCAGATTGACCAATTTAGATTGGTTTGAAATAACTGGACAAGACAAGTGGTCGTCAGTGTAATCTTGGTTTAACGCCGCAAGGAAATGGCACTGAGTCATCCGCTCGGCCGCCCACTGAAATACTTGGAGGGGGGAGGCCGAAAGCAGGTTCGTGATCGAAACCTAACAGCAGCGCGGTTGTTGTTTATGTTAATATACGGAAGCGTGATATTGCTTTTTATAGAAGCTAGCCTATAGTCTCTAATGACTCTGGCTCATATATTCATCGGTGTTTTTTAGAGAAACCTCCTGTATGTACCATAACTCGAAAGTGCACGTTGAGCCGGTTAGCATTGATAATAATCAATGACAGGCCTGCACGACCCACTGCGTTATGGTGTGGTCATTGTTATGAACAGTGCCTTATATTTTTGTCCTAACGAGCATGTCTTTAAGAGATTGTCCTCTCTTGTAGGATATAATTGGCGGATCTTTAAATACGTTTTTCAGCAAAGGCTGATTTTGTATTAAGTTCCAGTTTTGCATCAATATATTTTTAAGGTTACGCACCGATGGGTGGTATGTTGTGACAAAAGGCAAGATTTGTTTGCCAGTTTTTTTCTTTTGTTGTAGAGCCGACTGTCTTTTTTCTTTGGTCGTATTTTTACCCTTTGGCTTGTGTCCCTTTATCTCTCTACTGACCCCTTTTAGCTTGTGCCAATTCTGCAGAAGTTGCGCACAGGTCATTTTGCGTAAAATTTACTGATCTTATCAGCAAACTTAATATCCTCGAAAAATCAACTGCGAATAGTTTACATACAGATTTATATTTGGTCTCTTTTTAAAGCTCAGGAAGTCTACTTTTCAGGAAATAAAAAGATAAATGGTGCGCCAATGAAGCCTTCCAAATTATTTTGCTTCAAATACACAAGGCGTTATTATTTTTTCTTAGCGGCAGGAATTAAAATATCACAGCGGGCAAATGCGACAGCTATACGCGTCACTGATGCAAATAAATCCATCCGAGGATTGGTTGAAGACGAGATGAGCAGGGAACTCACAAACACGCACACGGCTCGTGGATTCTGTTCTATATCACGTGTTCGTTAGTAAACAATGCATTCTCTGTTCTGCATTAAGTCATAAAGGTTACCTTACACTACCTCACGTTACATCGATTCGAGATTCATTCTACTTGGAACTTTCGCCCACAGCTTTATCAGGCTGCCGCCTCGCAGCCTCGCGTCTTGTCGCGTCGAGGCTGCTTGTTAGCAATTATGTTACAAGAAGATTCTCAAATATTAAAGGTTGTCTTCAAAATGTCAATAAGAATTCGATTTGTCACAACAACAGGTCACACTTTTCCTACGTAAAACTGCTGTTCCTTTTTTTAAAAGCAAAATTATGTTCACCGAACAGACTTGTGACACGTGAGTGCGTGAGTGCAGGCAGAATATTGTTTCCGTGAAGTTTCTAGGCCTCAGAAAAAGCCTTATTAGAATTCACCATATATTAAAATATATTATATATTTTTCTTTTCTAGATAAACACCTGAAAATATGACACGGTTTCAAGAGTTGCTGCTAAATGTATCATTATTTCTTAGTATGGTGACGTTAATTAAGGCAAGAATTACGGTCAATAAATGTCAAGATTCATCACCGAAGGCCTCTTGTAGACAAGAGTGCTATGAAGACTGCAAAATGTCGTGCGGACAAGCCGATCCCCAACTTAAGTCATGTGAACAAACATGCCTAGATCATGGGCAGTGCGATTTGAAATGCGTTACCAAGGAGACCTGTCATCAGGACTGTGAAGCGCTGCTGACTTGTGGATCAGTATTTTGCAAAACAGCCGACTGCACTCAACGCTGCGATGAAGGAATATGCAACATGAGTTGCAGAGCGACTTCTCGCTGTAAACAGCTGTGTAATGCAGGATCCTGTCACCTTAAATGTGCCAAAACTAGTGAGAGATGTAAACAGGTGAGTATGGGAGCACTTTAATTTAGTATAAAATAGTGAGAAAATTTGTCTTTTAAAAAAAGACAACGCCGTTTTTGTTTTTTCGCCAGGGCTATTGGGTTTTTCTTAAAACATCGTTTTGTTGACACGTGATCAAAAAAAAAACAGGACATGAGGTGTAAAAGAGTCAATGAGCCATGAGTCACCCAGTCCTAACCTTACCCAGTAACTCTAACCTCAAACCATAACCCCAGCTTACTTAATAACTTGACTCACAACCGGCATTGACTCCTGCCGCAGGTGTTGGGGAACGGAAACCGAGAAGTGGTTATTCCAACAACAGGCTAGGACAGAACACAAAAAGGGCTCTAAGACATTGATTTGGATTAGACAAAAATTATAGCAGGTGACACACTCGCGGCGGTCGAACAAGTATCTTACGCATGCGCAATTCCATATTGACAAAGCTGAGGAGTGTTTCTGATAAGTGTTTGCTTATGTTGGCAAATTTAGAGACAGAGAGGTTATAAAGTGTACTTTTTTTCCTATTCTCCGACTTTTGCCATTTATACCAGCTAGGAGCCCATTATCTGACCTGCGACAGGAGCGCAGAAACGGGACGGAAAAGGACGATCCCTAATCCGTTTTCTCGGTAATTTCTTGGTGTTGCGAACGAGCTTAATCACCAATTAACGTATACACATTATTGAAAAGACACTGAACAGTACCTACACCACACCATAAAAGCAAACCAGCAATGGTTTCCGCAACATCAAGAAACATCACTTTTCTACTACCCTATCTTCGATCCTCCTAATTACTTCCTTCTCCTCTTTTCCCTTCATCTCTCCTCTTTCTTTCCTACTTTGCGAGAAACTATCATCTAACCTGTGACCAGAGTGCAGATACAGAAAGAGAAAATGTGCTCAAGAAATCTAGTCCCCTGCCTCCTTACTCTAACCTACCAACTCGCCCAACTCCTTCTTCTATTTATACTGCAATGACCCTATATTGTTTACCCAACGTTATAGTCATGCTGGGAAGGCAGCTGCCCAACATTCTGCAGTGCTAAGCGTTCATGTGATCAAAACTGTGAATACGGCGAATGTCCAATGAGATGTACCACAGACGATTGCATTCAGTCCTGTACAGGCGGAAAGTGCAGAATGAAATGCAGAACCAAGAACAGTTGCGAGCAGCGGTGTTCATCGCTGCGCAGAATCTGTCCATTAGTTGAATGCCATAGTAAAGAAAAATCATGCGAACAGGTGGGCCTTACACTTCCTTTACAAATCAAACTTAAGGGTGGAAGATTAGTTTTATCCCCCTAACACCCTTTTCACCAGAAACAGAATATTCATTACCGGGGGGGGGGGGGCTGCTCCCTATAATGGCTTATACGGGGAGGCTACGCCCGGAAATGGGATCTTTTTCAGGCTTCAGGTATATGAAAGGGTAGGGACTTTACTCGTTGAGATATACGAAAGAGTAGGGAAATCTGTCATGCGGGTCTGTGAAAGGGCCCAAAGGGCTAACAGATGAATTTTGAGGCTTTTTAAAGTCGAGAAAACGTTCTATTTTTGTGATTGATTCTTATTTAAGCGACAGTGTATTTACAGCATTTAAAAGAGATGCACAGTTCTAGACAACTTAAGGTATGTGAAAGGGGTACCATTTGTCAGTAGAAGGTATACGAAAGGGGTACCGTTTTCGTGAAAAATGGTATACACCTAGTTCAATTAAGGTTTCTCCCGTGAACCATGTTTCATAGCCTGCAGTACACTATGGTAAACCACTTTTGTAGCGGAAGCTTAGTTTTGTTCACGTTCCTTGAAATAATGGAGACCATTTGTGAGAAGGTGTTCAAGACAGCTTTCAAGTCAAATGGCTGCTAAAATTCTTAAGCATGAGCTAGCTGAAAAATTTCATTTTTAAAATCTCATGGCTAAAAATTAGAAGCCTCTTCTTTTAACAACATTAATTGAATAGGGTTTTACCGCCAGATTAAGCTGCGTTTTTGCATGGGTCAGCCTAAAATGCTGGTTATTTTAAAAAAGCAAATCCACGGTTGGTTCACGGTTTGGCTAAATGGTAAGAAAAATTCAGGACTGGTAAATTTCACTCCGGAATCCCGTTTCAATTTGTACAAATCAGTTTCGTTTACCGAAAAAAGGCCCCTGAAGCCTGAAATTGGTGTCAAAGATGGCTTTGATCGATCGAAGAAATGCAACACGAATTTCCGTTGGAAAATTCCGCTCAGGAAAACAAGTTTACCTTATCAAACGGTCCGTTGCTTCCGAAAATGTTTCCCTGAAACGACTTATATTTTTTGTATGTTATTCATAGCTGGAAGGGGCCGAGAGGATGTTAATCCGCGCTAAAGAACAGGGCTACCAGTACTGCAACGGTGGAGGCTGCCATCAAAACTGTACATCAGAATTTAGATGTTATCAAAAATGCAAGGGGCGATGCCCTCAACATTGCACCACAGGTGAGAGATGTGAGCAGTTGTGCTCCATCGACGGAAAATGTGATCAGTCCTGTACCTCCAATTCCTGCGTACAACGCTGTGACAAGGGTGGAAACTGTAACATGACCTGCAAAGCCACGGATCGTTGCGTACAGGTACTAAATAATAATAATTATAATAATGGTCTTTATTTCCACCAGATAAAGATACATATCCTATGTTACAACTGTCATGAATACAGTAATACATAATAAAATAAATAAACTTATCATAGAATACTAACTATACTATACTAAGATTGCGTTTAAATATTAATCTATTTACAAAGGCAGACTTGAAACGCTCAGTATTAATATAAGGACGGGCACATTGTTTTTTTAAGACGATTACAAGAACAGACTTTCTTTGAAGGATATATGGAACTAGCGGGTCCTGCCTCTTTAGTAGATCCTTAATTGAAACGAGGTAAGAAATAAAACAGCGCTTATAACATATATCTAAATAATTAAGTCTCGTGATTGGATTGTTCAGATGCACAGACTACGGAAATGAGATGTTGTCTGAGGGGACTTAATTTGATTGGTTAAACCAGCGAAGGCAGACGTGCGCAGCGTCAGAACCTGGATTGGATCGATTTGAACGAAGAGCAACCTGAGGAACCTCGTTCCTTGGGCGGGGAGTGAATGAGGTTGGGCGGAGAAATGGAATATTTGGATTGATCAGTGATCCTTACTTTATATTAACATCAACGGGATCATCCCTCGCTGCTTCTGCTGTTTGAGCGAGCGAAGAGATTCCGACAACAGTCCCGTATCCAGGGTCTAAATAGAGCTGAAAGAGTGAGGAAGCTTAAATAAAAAAAAGACAAAGAGAAACGGAGAAGGGGCCGGGTTTCATTAGGGAGCTTAAGCAGCGACGTTTTTGAGCGACGCACGTCAACCGGAAGTGAGGTATTTTCCCTCTTAACATACCTTGATGATATAAAATTTGTATTCCTTAGCTTCTTTACTGTTATAGAGGCGATTTGACTGAAAATTTGCGCGAAACCACCGTCAAAAAATGAAAAAAGGCCACTTCCGGTTGACGTGCGTCGCTCAAAAACGTTGTTGCTTAAGCTCCCTATTTTACAATACGAGCTGGGAATCGCGAGAAATAATCTGGAATCAGATCGAGAGAATGCCAATACTGGCAATGCTCTCATTCTGATTTAATTTTGACTTAAAAAATATTTTAGCCAACGAAAACGTAGAATTCGGATTTAATTCTCACAGTTAAATTGTCTAACGGTTTTCGCTAATGTCGGAAACGTCTTAAACTTGATTTCACAGCAATGATCTAGAGGAGGCTGTCATGGAGTTTGTGACTGTCGATCATGTCTGCAGCTCTGTGATGCCGGTAATTGCACCATGGAATGCAATGCAATGCAATGCCAGCATAATTGCACGGGTGGAGGCTGTAATCTTACATGTCCTGATGGAGCATTGTGCAAACTACACTGTGGAGCTCATCAAAACTGTACTATCACAAGAAAAGTGAAGCCAAGAAAATTTGGCTACTTGACTACGACAGTATCACGGACATCAGACGAACATGGAATCCATCTCAACAAAAGAACGACCAACAATGGCTGCAGCTTTGATCCCTGTAGGACTCTCTTTATGGTTGTCGCGACCGTTATGTTTTTGTCCTCTTAGCTTTGATTAATGCAGCAATCAGTAAATCGCGGAGTTGCAGATTTTCTTTAACGCATCTTTCAAAACAATCTGTGCGAGAAACTGTGGGTCAACAACTTTACTTTTCAATTTATTGGCTTTGTTCATGTTGTCTCCCACAGTCACGACTTGCAGGAAGTGTACAACACTCCAGTCTGAGACCTTTCCGACAAGATGGGCCAGTTCGAGTGGAAAATACGCTTTTCGTTCAGGCTTGACTCTCACTGAGACAAAAGTAAGAGCAAGTTTCACACGTGTGCCGTATACCAACCCACGGCTTGGCCAGTACCTAAACGCATGCGCACAGCCGTATCACCAAGGTCGTGGCAGCCATGAAAAGCTATTCACCCTTATTAGAGCTCACGCGTTCAAAGGCCGTTTCCTGCCAAGGCAAGTAAAAAGCACTCCTTTGAGTGCCAGCTCAACACAACACGTATGGGAGCTGTTGGAGGGAAACTAGACGGCAGTTCTCCCACGGCATGCGCTGGGAAGGCGGATCAGCATTTTTGCCGATCTGTGCGCCAGTAAATCCAATAAGACAAACTGGCCAGGAGGTGGGTTGGTGTACGTGTGTCAACTGCTTTTAAGTTTGTCTTGTCTCTCACTCAATGTTTGCAGTAATGTACAAGAAGACCTGCTTCATACAACAGCTCCTTCTTAGGCGCCTTTTAGGTGTGTGGCACTGGTGCATAGCACTCAAGCCTTTCGATGGGCCGTCGTTGGTGCCATGAGGTGGGGCCTACTGTGTTGCAGCTCATAAGGATATAGCTTCTCGCTCGGACGTTTTTTAGGGCGTCGTCACGCGTGGCGAAGCCATAAGTGCCTCTACGAAGGAAGCAGCAAAAGAATACTAAGCGGACATATGATACATATTCCAATCGGCTCCTGTATTCCATGATTCTTGAGACTGCAAGTATCGTTATTGGCCTATTAGCATTAGCTTCTGGGAATGTTTCAGCCCGTGAGTGACCTGCATTACAATGTATTTAAAGACCACTAGACGCCCACAGCATTTTTCTCGAAATTGGTCTTATACTTACCCATTGCTCAAACTTTTTTCACATATCATAAACGTTGCTGTTTTTATAGCAAAACTGTTTCGAACTTTAATTTCACATTATTAACCCTTGGCAACGGACCTAGTGGATCTGGTCAATTGTTTTCTTTCTGGAACGATGCAAACTATTTATTTCTGAACCATTTATTAAGCTCCATATTTTAAGTGATTAGTTGATAAGCGGCGAATTCAGGAAGGATAGATCTTTTTCACAGATACCTTATCTGGGAAATTTTGTTCAATCCTGCCAATTTTACACACATAACCTAGAAACATTTTTTTGGGAAAATCCACAACCAATTTCGCTATTCATCAACTACTTGTTTACCGGACAAAACTTTATACTTTCCTGGAAAGTAATATTAATTAATAAGATGAGAGTGTCTCTAACCTCCCAGGTTCACGTTGCTCACCCCCACGTAGAAAAATAATCTGTATTTCTTGTCTAGAACAGTCTGATGTCCAATTTACATAATTATGTAGAAGCTAAAGTTATAGTAATATATTATCATTTTTAGGATTTAGAATATTGATTTTCTGATATCACATCAAGTGCGCTCAATGTTCCAGTGTACACTTATCTCTACCAAATTATTATCCTTATATTCAAAACATGTAAATTGCAAAATTATTTGTCTTCCAGTGCAACGTGCTCTTGATCACATGTAAATTAAGCACTGTCGAAATAATATACAGTCTAACCTCTCCTTACGGAAACCTCTATAATACGGACACCTCTCTATTACGGACAGTTCGTTTGGTCCCAGAAATTCCAAAAATCCTACATTCCCTACCTCTATACTACGGACACCTCTGTAAAGCGGACACTTGGTTCTGTCCCTTTGGTGTCCGTATGAAAGACGTTTGACTGTATTGTCATTACTGTTACTCGTGTATACGAAAAGGAAGGCAGATAAAATGTCGGTAAACAGTTAAAAAGGTTTTGAACAGCCAGGGACCAACAAAGAGCCATGCACCTGCAAACTAAGTCCAATCTAAGTCATAATTTATGACATAGCAATATTTTCATTACTGCAAATAGTGTCGTCCATTAACCAGGGGCACCCAACGAGAATATATTTCAAAACCACTTAAACATAGCATTGTTAAACGTATTTTAGTATTAGAACGGTAGATATAGGCATATTTTTATCCCCTAAAAATTTTTCATCTATTCGAATTTCCTAGCTGAAAGTCTAGTGATTCGAAAATTATAGGGATCAAAACTTACCTTTTCGAAAATTTCAGCCAGAGAAAAGGCTCCCGAAAATTGTAGGTGACCTTTTTAGGGTAAAAATCCGTTAAAAATGGGCAATTATACCATTTTTTAGATGTTCGAAAATCCTAGGAGAGGCAGACAAGCAAGAAATTTTACAACAAATGTTCCCAAAATTCTAGATCTCAAGTCGTCTTCCGAACAGATATTTTCCGAAAGTTGTCGTTGGGTGCCCCTGATTAACAACCACACCGGGGTATAACTGTGAAAACTGTTACATCTCATCTAGGTTTACGGGTTGCGGATAGGATAATATTCCATTGAAAAGTCAAAAAGTGTCAAATGTTTTTAAGAAACAGATGTTTTGAGTATATAACCCTTCTTCAGTATCAAGAAAACCGTTATTAGTAGGGCTACCGGCAATTGTCATAGGCATAAAAATGAGGCGCGTGCGCGTGTAAATAATAGCGAATGTTAGAATGTGAAAAAAAATGCACTTTATTTGGGTGTCAATGTATTTAGTACTAAAGTACTAATTAAGGACACTATTTTTTACTTCCCTTATTGGAGAGGGGACCGCCATTTTACGTGGTCATCCGAGTCACGCGAAGGTCTAGCCGCTTGCAGTACAAAGGTAGTACCTTCATTTCTCAGTTATTTTAAGACCCTGAGTATTGGTCCGGCCCCGGGAATCGAACCCGCGACCTCCCGCTCTGCAGTCACACGCTTTACCGACTGAGCGAACACTGCCGCGGTTTATAAACATAACAACTTTCTTTAATTTTCCAGACATGTTTCGACGATACATCCGTCATCTTCAGTGTTACATATTTTGAAATCGCCGTTGAATTTAAAGCGGGCCGATTTTACAAAGTTCGTTACATTGCGTTGTCAATATTGCGTACTAAAACAAAAAAAATAAATGAGTGACGCTTAGTTCTTTACAGGGAGAGAGTCAGGTTAATGTGTTTCACCTGCTGGTTGTAGTAGAAATCCTATGACGTCGGTGCTAAATGGGTGACATGTGAGATCAAGACGCACCCTGTGAACGGTTACGAAACTCTGTTCGGATGAGTACAGCACGTCATGACGGTTAATAGTTGCATTGTTGATATGAGTTGGGCGGGTGGGTTTTCTGGGCATTGTTAAGAAAAAAAATGTCCCAACATTATCGAGAGAAAGAATTGTAGCCAACAAATACTGAAGGATGTAACAATTAAAAGCAGCAGTCAAAGCCTAAAAAAACACACCTTGCCTTTTTGTTAAAGGAAGAACGTTTGTTTTAGAACTTCCTCTTTAAGTTCGATCGAGCAGTAAATGATATAAAAACAGCATATTTTGTGCATACGTGATAACAAACATTTATAGTTTTGCCTTCAATTCCTGTTTCGCCTGGGCTTAATGTCTTAAAGGCAGCTACGCCCCTGCTTCCTGTATTTAACTGCTAAATAGTGTAGTTTATGATTGTATATGCGTATTCGTAAATTGGCACTTAAGCACATTTCCAGTTATGGGCTTATCTGCATTAGCAGAGGCAAATTAGGCATTTCCGTTGAAACATCTAAAACAAATATTTTAACTTCTATTGGGCCGTTTAAATCTGACAACACTTGCCTTTGTTAATGGAAGGAATTATGGCTTTACAACAAATGATTGACAAGAAAAACCCATTATAGTATATTTAATCGATTTTGCCTGGTTTTTGCCCGAAGCAAACTTTGTCCGCGGCACCTTTGAATACTTTCCCGTCTCAGACAAAATTTTAAAAAAAGCGCGACAAACCATCCGCATCATTTGTTTGGCGTTGATGATGACAGAAAATTTGTCTCAATTAATAAATAACTTTTTCGCTAATGAAAAAAGGCCCTATCTTTTCAATCGATTTCTTAGCACTGTGGTTGGCTTAAGGTCAGTTGATAACTGACACCATTATACAAACTCACTTTAAGCAGCTGTGCTAAGGCTTCGCAGGGGACTTACAATTGCCAATAAAAGTTCTGAGTCAAACAGGATACGCAATCTACGGATACGTCGCAAACTAAAGCATGAACTCAACGGCCAACGGATCCAGCGGGTTTTGGAGCTGCTCTAATTTCACTGCGTGGAAAATCGCAGGAACCGTTGCCTTTTGTCTGATCATCATCGTTTCACTGATCGCAAACTCTCTAATTGTTATCCTCGTTTGTAAAACGCCGAACTTAAGAAAACCGATAAATTATTTCATCGCAAACATGGCTTCATCTGATCTGCTGTATCCAATATTCTTGATGCCTTGGAAACTGTCATTCTTTCACACCAACACGTTTCTTATCGGTGGTCAGCTTGGCCAGGCCTTGTGTAAGCTTGTCCCTTTCATTATTTCCGTTTCCTTTGTCGTTTCCAGTCAGAATCTGATTCTGATAGCGGTGGATCGATTTGGAGCCGTGGTATTTCCACTCCGTTCACCACTCATTAGATCCAAACTGTGTCCCTTCTTCATTATCGCTACATGGATAGTTGCCGCAGCGGTCAGTTCGCCAGACTTGTTCACTTACGAGCTCGTTGAATACCCAGAGGGAACCTGCAGGTGTGTTGAGAACTGGAAGACTGAAGCATTCGGAGAGTCCTCATCCTTTGCCAGTTTCTCATTAGCTTACTACATTCTGTTTATATACATACCTGTGCTGTTGCTAGTCATTCTTTACTCCATCATTGTTATCAAGCTCAAGACACAGGTACACCCAGGTGAACAGTCCGCCAACAGTCAGCAACAGCGGGACAGAAGAAACAGAAACGTGCTTCAAATGTCCATTGCTATCGTAACAGTGTTTGTGTTCTGTTGCTTACCTTACTCTATAAACTTTTTAATCACGCAGTATCAGGACACTTTCACGCATTTATCGTGTAGTTTCTGGATATACAAAAAAGTCATCCTTTATGTGGCTAACGCGTACTGTGCTATCAACCCAGTTATTTGTTTCATATTTAGCAGTAATTACCGAAATGCTCTTAAAAGACTCATAAAATGTTCTTTTGTACAGGCGTAGATCGAGAAAAGAAGGAAGGAATAAAACGGACAATAAAAAACACCTGTTGGAATTTTAGCGTCACCCAAGGGTTGACAGTAATGTTTACGTACGCCGTTCGCCCATTGCAAAAAAAATACATGAACCAAAAAGTTAAACAGGAAGTTTAAGCGGCAAGGTGTTGTCTTTTACACAAAATCAATCAAATGGTATTGCCCCTTTGATAAATTTTGATCACTTATGTTTAAATGCCTAATGGGCGTATTTCTACATGTAAATAATATGTATCACACCAGTTTAAAATGTCCACTCATATTGGTTTCCAAATATCTTTTCAATCCGGATTTCTCAATACAGCCACAATGGCTTTAAAATAGCATCTATATAGTCTGTTCAGCTTGAAAGGACGGCCATGTTCGTCTTAATAACAATCAGGAGACAAAACTACAATAGTGATAAATTGTTATCGTTCGTAAATGAGACGATTTCCTGCGCTCTTGACCACAAGACTCCCTGATGACTATTGTACACTTCCATGTGGGGCTAAGAGCCACATTAAAAATGTTCTTGTCGTTGCATTTTTACTACCTATTTGACACAAATTCAACATACGTTTTGAAATGGGCGTTTTGAAATCATTAGTCAAGAATAAACTAACCGCTCTACACTAGTGAAGAATTTAATAATAATAATAATAATAATAATAATACAGGCATAATGCAGCTTTGAAGATTCTGTTTTTTGAGCTCCTGCGAGAGCATGGGTTCATAAAAGAGGTTCCACCATGGTACTCACCGGTGATGCCAAAACCAGCCTACCAGAACACCACGAATGAGGCGTTTTGGGATATTCCCATCTATGCAGAGCACAACGAAGTTAGAGCAAATCGGATCGACGCGCGACTTGTCAGCCACGAGAGGAAAGAAGTCGGCACAATTGAAATGAGCTGCCCATGGACTGAGAGTAGAGCTAAGAAAGATGAGGAAAAGACACTCAAGTATGGGCCCATGATGTGGGAGCTGAAGCAGAGGTACATTGGTTACAGGGTTGAACAGTACAACGTAATAATTGACGTACTGGGTGGTTACTCTAAACACCTAGAGAAGTCGGTGAGGAAGCTACTTGGAGCGAGAGCACGGGGCGTACTTGAGCGGATGCAGAAGTCGGTCATCTCAAACACTTTGAACATTGCCAGAACATTTAAGATAAATACTTAGTTAGGGCGCTAAGGACTCCAGTTTTTAGGTTTTCTTTTTTTTTTCCTCTAGAAATCCAGAAACACAAGTTTGCTGATGTTTTTACTAAGATTTTTTTAGAGTATTAGAGTTTCATATTATTCTACATAGGCTTTTACTAGAGATAACCATATTATGATGGCCTTGTTTAGGTATGTAAGAGATAATGAGAGTATAAAAACTGAATAGTTTTCTAAACAGGCTTCTAGAGATAATTATATCATCATGTCTTTGCGTAGGTTTTACGGAGTATAAGAATTTAATAATATTTTAAATTGGCTTTTTAAGTAGAGAGATTCCCGAGAGATTCATATCATTATGTATATTAGGATTGTATTAGGTTTCGCACCGACCTTTTTTTACTTCTAAGTATAGCTTCTCACTATACTCCTCATAATGTGGACAGCATTCCAAAGTTTTATACTGCGAGATAATAATAATAACTTCATAAAAAATACAATCCTGGTATTTACATGTACTGTTCTGAGCAATGAAAATGCAAGCAACAGAGGTTGTAGACTTCCAAAAAAGTCCTTCGACCGATTTCAATTGCGCGGGCTATATGAAAGGGGATGCTCTTCAGTGGTTACTGTGTGACATTGTTTAAATTTTGTTTAGAAACCAATTCTTTGTTCTCTCTCTTTGCTTTCCTTGGTTTTATCTGTTTTATATTGACTGGACAACCCAAGCTTGAAAGTGAAATTTAAGAAAGAAAATCGATTTGACAAAGTAAATAACTCGAAGGTTCAATGCTAATGAGTTTTTCCTAGCCAATTACAACGAAGACTTACTCAAGCATTGATATGAGTTTTAAAGCGTTTGAGTCATTCTTGTGATTATAAAAATGATTGCCACAGCGTTATTAATCGAGCGATAAAATTGTAACCAACAATTCGTAACATTGAAAGCAGTCAAAGAAGTAACAAGCGTCGTCTATTTATTTGTTGAGGAAGAACCTGCCAGTTTCCCTTTGCCGACAGCACACTCCTGGTTGTATAGATACCCGTTTTTAGTTCGATCGAGAAGTAAATGATATAAATAAAACTGCCTGCTTCATGCTCACATGATAACATGCATTTATTTTTGCCTCATATTTTCGTGTTTAAAGCCTGTTAATTGTTTAATGGCAGGCAGTTTCGCCCCTGCTTCCTGTGGCAGTTTACCTGCCAAATTGTGTACTTTATGATCGTATTGCTAAAGATAACATTTCACACACCTGTTTAAATTGGCATTAAGCATGTATTTTCGATTATCTTTTCAATCGTTTTCTCACCGTAGCTACATGAACATGACACTTTCCCGTACGCTGTACTTTGATGTTACCATGTATACAGCTATTTCGAGAAAGGTTGTCTGAAAACATGTGAACACGCTTCAATCCCGAGAAGGTAATATGGGATATGATCAATACACTGTTCCTGACACCGTAGCTGTCGAACCTACTTTTGTTGCTTTCCTTAATCGCAAACATACGTCTATGGCCTGTCAAATTTCTTTAAAGAACAGTCAGAACTCAAAACTACCCCCCCCCCACCCCCATAATACGTTTCGGGATTTAGTAAGAGGTTCGTAAAACACTCACGAATAAATGTATCATGACCATCAGAGTACTCCACCACTTTGAGCCCGGGGGGAGTACTCCCTTATATAGGCCATATAGGTATGTGCCCCCCCCCCTCAAAGGGTAGGGTTTTTGCGCCGTTTTGGTCTGAAAACGTGTAAAGAGTTTGCCCATTTTGGTCTGGAATCGGGTATGGTTTTCGAGGAAACTACCGGAGTGTATGAACGTATTTGTCGATCTTTTCAATTCGAAATGAATCAGAAAGAAAGAGTAATGAGCGAATTCGAAATGGTTTTTAAGAAATCGTTTCCGGTTTGAGCTCTAGCATAAAAGTGATGACCGTATTTACACCTCTACCAGGTCTGAAAACGGGTATGGGTTTAAGAGGCCGGGTCTGTAACATTTTTTTGGTCTGAAATAGGGTCAGGATTTGAAGAACTGGGCGGCACAACATTAACCCCAACAAAAATTCCCGGGAATACCCCCAGGGGACGTTGAGAAGGTTTTGATGACTGCGAAAAATGACAGCATAGGCGACGTATGGTGAGAGTTTGGGTGGTATATGAAACTCAGCCGCGAACCATTACAAACGTTATAGGGGCGCGAGCACGAGAAGTACAAAAGTATTCGTTCATATAAGGGAAAATTTATTAACTGAACATTTAAGGGAAATGTCAACGATAAAATTTGAATAACAGTATGAAATATCTTCTAGTAACTCTTAAGTGTCTTTCTATTGTTGTAACTTCTGCTGTTCAGCAAATATTGCATTTCTTAATTTGTCCTCACACATTCATAAATAATTTATGGCAAAGTTTAGCCAAACATTTTCGATAAAAGTAGCTCAACACCTCAGTTCGGTAGATCGACTAATTGTTCTGACATGATTTTCAAACTGTTATTTTAGTACGTTCTTCACTCTTATTGTTTAAATTCTGTTTGGAAGCCGATACTTTGTTCACTTTGCTCTCCTTGTTTTATATTGACTGGACAACGCAAGCTTTACGGTGATATTTACAACAGAAAACCATTTTCACCAAGTAAATGATTCCAAGGTTCCATATCTGCTAAGGGACTGTGCAATAATTATCGGGGGCTGAAAAACTAGAGTTATCTAGCAAAAACTGAGACAGTACCCACCCTCCAAAACAAAAAATATAGTTCTAGCCTCCCTCTGTTATGTTAAAAATAGGGAGCTTTAGCAACGACGACGGCGACGGCAACGAGGACGTCAAAAAAGCAATGGGTTTATTACGCAAAACAACAACTTTGCACGTGCACCACGCTTTTTTGTACATTTCTTTACCGTCCTTGCACGACTACGACGTGAAAATGCCTAATTGCAAGTTTTATGGAGGAAGTAAACAAGCGACGAGGAATCTCTTTTTTTCTCTCTAGACTTGAGTGCGGTCCTCAAGAAATCAGCTCCAGGGAAATTCACCTACATTTGACATTTTCAGCAAATTGGAATAAACGCGACAAAGATTGAAAAAACGGGAATTCATTTTAAAACCGACGTTTTCGCTGCCGTTGCCGTCGTCGATGCTAAAGCTCCGGCCCCTAATAACGTCGCCCCCCCCCCCGCCCCGCCTCCCACCACCCAGATTTAGACAAAGCATTTGCTAAGTACCGGGGTGCTTACCACATTGGCTCAAAATCTAAAACTTCTGAAGCCAGAAAGAGAAAGGAGCAGAGAAAAAAAATCAAAGAACAGGAGATTGAACGCTTCAAATAACAGACGAAAAAGAGCTTGCATTATCTGTAGATCCTTGGGAGGAGAGCCTGATGAACTTTGTTATGAGCCAGATATATATGGAGTTCAGCAAATCGATTCAGTCGATGAAGAAACATTACTTTTATTCACATCAAAAACCGACAAATTTTGTCTACGAGATCTGTTTGATTCCCATTCTTTTATGGGAGAAGCTGAAAAACAAGTTCATGATTTTTGCTTTACATAGGATCAGCTCAATTAATTAGAAGACGGGTTAAAATTGATCAGTTGTCAATTGGCTTTTCATTTTGATGGAATATTTTCAATAATCGTCTAACAGCTGTTCGTATTGATATTTGTTACAGTCTATCATGTTGCTTGTATTGAGAATCTTTTATTGTGTTTAATTTTATTTACATTTCGAATAAAACTTAAGGGCCCCCCTCCGTCAAATGAGTGATTTTACTTTGAGCCCCCCTATCTTGGCAGAATTTTTATGTAATACCCCCCC